ACGGCACAGCTCCGGGTGGGCAGGACCGAGGGTCCCGTGTCCATCTCAGGATGGTGATTTGGGACAGTCCTTGAGCTCCCAGCTGGCAAGTTTAAGATGGAAGCAGGTTTTATCACATAATTAAATATGAAAGGTAACTTATTCCTGCCCCCACATTAGGGACAGGTATGTATCTGCACATGCATGCATGTACACACATGTATATGTGTGTTAGAACATGTCTCACAGCTGCAGTGAAGTCACTCAGAGGCTGTACCCTGGGTGTTTTCTTCCTCTCAGGTCTGTAGAGGTTTGACACATTTTTTTACACATTCAGTCTTAAGAACCTGGAGGCAACTTTATTTTTCTAGGAAAAAATGGTAGAATCATTAAAGATTGGAAAAACCTTCTGAGATCATCCAGTCCAACCCTCCCTCAGCACTGACCTGTGTCCCCAAGGCCACATTCGAACACCTTTTAAATCCCTCCAGGGATGGGGACTCCACCACTGCCCTGGGCAGCTGTGCCAGGGCTGGACAGCCCTTTCCATGAAGGAATATTCCCAATATCCAACCCCACCTCCCTTAGCCGCTCCTGCTGCTTCAGACCCCTCCTTCTCACAGAGCCTGCGTTTATTCTGACTTTTCCACCTGGAAAGACAGACCCCTTTTCCTTTCTCCATTCCTCATTCCCCAGTTCCTACCTGCCTGGTGAGGAAGCAGGAGTGGGAGGTGGCAGGTGAGGGGGGAGGTGGAATGAACTCCTCGGCTGGAGCGTTGTCAGCCCTTGACCCCCCCAGCGCTGTTCCGGAACACCAACGTGGAGGACGTGCTGAACGCCAGGAAGCTGGAGCGGGAGCTGCTGCGGGATGAGTTCCAGAGGAAAAAAGAGCAGGATAAACTGCAGAGGGAGAAGGACAAGCTGGCCAAGCAGGAGCGGAAGGAGAAGAAGCGGACACAGAAGGGCGAGCGGAAGCGGTAGCCGGTGATTCCCAGTTGGACTCTCGAGGGATAAAATTAATTCTGAATACGGTGTGTGTTTAAAAAAGCAGCAGGAATTGTGGGCACATGCCTGGGAGTGGTTCTTGGGAGGTATTTCTTTTTTTTGGTTTGTTACGTAGCAGAAAAGAAACTCTGGGCAGCTCCTGGCCCCGCGTGCCCTGTGCTTGTGGTGTCAGTGTCCCCGTCGGTGCTCGTGGCCAGTGTCTGTACCAAAGAAGGGTGAAGTGATTATGTCCATGGTGTTCAATTGATCCATTTTTACTTCTGACCACCCCAGAGCAGAGCACGGTGGAGGAGTTTGGTCAGGTCAGGACACGCTGCTGCTCCGGGGCAGACGTGGCTTTATTTACACAAGCCTTGAAAAACGTCCTTGCAAATCCCTGTGTTTGTGCTGCCAAGAACAACGGGACGGCCCTGCTCGGGCTGGAGCAGGACTGGAGCTGGGCTCAGTGTGGGCAGTGCTGGTCTGCAGCAAAGGAACGGAGTGTGTGAACTAGAGATGAGCTGCAGCGACACCACTGCATCACCCATGGGCTGTGGGTGAGGGAAACGCCCCGTGGGCCGGAGCATCGGCCTCTGCAGCAGCAAACCACACTCCTTACAGGATTTTAAGGCTCCAGGTAGCTGGAAAATGGTGCTCCCCAGCTCCCTGATGTTCTGAGGGGGAGAACATAGACTGTTATTTCCACAGCTGTTGCCAGGGTGAAGCTCTGAGGCCGTCTGGGCACCGAGCAGGGCGAGCCGGGGATGTGCTGAAGCCACCAGCCTGTTGCTCTCCCCGGGCACAGCTCCCATCAGGAACCAGGGTCTGGATGCTTTTCCTGCCCCAAAGGGCTCGTCCCTGCTGTTCCAGCCTTCCTTGTGACGGTGTCACCCACCCTGGGAAGGAAAACACTAATGCTGTGAATGGAGGGGAAGGAGGAGCTGCAGCATTTCGGGGCCCTGTGCCTTGGCCCTGGGCCACATCCTGCTCTGGCTGCCTGTTGGCTGCGACGTGCCCTGTGCTCCTGAACTGCTGAGCTCCTGCACTCCTGTGCTCCTGAACTGCTGAGCTCCTGTGGCTGTGACCTCCTGAACTCCTGTGGTCCTGAGTTCCAGGGTGCCTGACCCGGCACCTGCTTTTGGCACCGCTCTGACTGCAGGGCCAGGCCTCCCCCCAGCCCCTGCTGCGCGTGTGACTCTGCAACTGCTTTGTCTTTGGACTTGAACAATAAACCTGGTTGGCCAAGGAGTGGTTCCTCTGCCTCAGTGACGTGGCAGCTCGCGTTGTGGTGCCTGTGGAGCAGTGCCCTCTGTCCCGTGTCTGCCGGGCTGCAGGTCCTGCTCCATTCACGCCTCGTTTCCCAGGGCTGTGGTGCCCCTTTTGCCCTTGCCGGGCACTGTCCCAGCTGTGCCTCTCCCTAGGGCTCAGCTCCCAGGCTGGCCTGGAGCACTGTGCTGGATCCTGGCTGGCTCCTGGTGTTTCCAGTGGCTCAGGCAGCTGCCGCGGGCGGAGGCAGCTCTTGAGGGAGGGTCTGTCACTCGCTGGGCTGGCTTTCACCTTTTCCTGGGCCCTGGGCTGAGGCTCTGCCCTCCCACGGGGCTGGGAGCTGTTGGTACCCAGGTGATCTCCCTCCAGCTCACTTGCTCTGGCAGCAGCAGCTGCCCACCCCTGCCAGCAGACGTTCTGGAGCGGGCACCCAGAGCTCTGCCACCTGCCCAGCCCTTGGGTGCCAAGGAAAACACCAGCCCGGGGCTGGAGCTGCCACCTGCAGGGACACGGCACAGCTGAGCCCCTCATGGCCTCTTGAGACCTCTGGTTGTGAGGGGGGGCACCATTCACCTCCCCACGAGGAGCAGGAGCCCCCTCTGTCCAGGAACAACAGGATGTGTGTGCACATTCCATAGGAATGGATGCAAGGAAGGCACAGTCACACACACGGTGGGAACAGGCTCCTACAGCCCCGCAGTTCCCTCTGCAGGTACCGCTGTCCCCTGCACCCCCAGCCGGGCTGGGCTGGGCTGGGCTGGGCTGGGCTGGTGTGTCTGGCTGGTCAAGGCCTCGCTCTGCTGTTGGAAAGGCCCTGCCAGGGACAGGGATCAGGAGCAAGGGGAGGTCCAGCTTCCAGCACTGTCCTGGGGCTGTGGAACCACAGCCAGGAGCAGCACCATGGCAGCAGCCAGTGGTGTTGGCAACCCCAAGTGAGCTGATGCTTCTCAGCACATGAGGCTGCAGGGCTGCCCCTCCCTGCCCTCTCAGGGCTGCCCCCACCCCACGGGGCTGCCCCTGCCCCCCAGGGCTGCTGTCCCCTCTGCCCCCCAGAGTGGCCCCCCTTCCCACACCAGCAGTCTGGGCTCCCAGGCAGGCACTGACTCATCCTCTGGAGCTCCAAGCGCTGCTGCTCCACTGGTGCCCACCCAGGACAGTCAGCAGTGCATGGCTGGCAGCACCACAGGGGAGTTATTTATAGAGCAGCAATGCTCTGGACTCACCCTGAAGAATCCCAGTGCAGATGCTGGAATTGCTGCATCAGCTTTCCCTGGCAATGCAAAGCTGGGAGACCACGAGACACTTGCAGGGAAAAGAAATTCCTCACTCTGGCTCCCTTTGGCATGTCCAACATTACGGGCATGGCTCTCTCCATGATTCCCCTTTGCTTTATCCCCCTAAACACACTTCCAGAAAGGACTGAAGGTTTCACCTCCAGAACCAGCTCAGGCTTGAGGAGCCCAGCCTGGGAACACACTGACAGAACAAAAGCTTTTCAGCAAAAGCGAATTTATTTCCTACAGACGACTCCAGCCAGTACAGTCGGTTTTGCTTTAACATCAACACAGCCTGGGTTAAACTGAACAAACCCCAGTGCAGTGACTGCTATGAAGTTGTGCTTGTTCTGCCCCAAAACACTCACCCTGGCAGCGCCTCTGGTCATTGCAGTGATCTCACGCTCACCCACCTTCTGCTGAGCCTTCCTCGGTCGCTTCTGTCACATCATCCAATGACAATTTATAGGGTGCCATCACCCCTTCCACCCACCAGCATTCCCAGCACAGGAAGAACCGAACCCTGTCAGTACCAGGGTGTCCAGGCACGGACAGCTCAGTGACTTTACCCCCACGATGTCCCAGGGGTGGATCCTCCTCCTCCTCCTCGAGCACACGGTGAATCAGCCACTCCTGCTCCTACAGACTGAGAGCTGCAGGAAACACCAGTGCTGGGAGCTGCCCAAAGGCAGAGGGGAACAAAGAAGCCTAAAAGCTGACAATCAAATTTCAAACCAAACTAGTGAAAGACTAACTTCAACAAAACCCAAGTTTCAGAACTTCGCACTACCTCTTCCAAATTTAAATTCATTAGAAACAACGCTCATTATTGCAGCTGCTGCACAGCTCTGCAGGACAATCCTGTGTGCCTGTTGTAGTTTGATTAAGCTTAAATACTTTAAAACAGAGGTTTCTTTCTTCCCAAGAGCATGCTCAAATATCCGAACACATTCACTACATTCATGGTTTCACACGGCAATAATTGGTAATTTAGTGGAACCTGGTGCATATATCTCCTTTCGCAAACATAAGATTCTAAAATCTCAAGTTCATAAATATTTGTATTTTAAATATCTAATTTGACATGAATATTGGGTATTCTTAGCCTTTTTTCCTCCTGTTTCCAAGTTTTAGTTCGATACGGAAACTGTAACACATTACAATCTGATCTGACACCAATCTCACCCCCCACCACACCACAGTCTCTAAGAACCATTATTAAAAAACTTATTTCCAAAAGCAAAACTAAAAAGTTATCGGGAGAGTTGTACACCAGGGTTTACCAGCAGGAGATAAATAATATCTTGGCTGTTAATGAATTAGTGTGATTATTTTTTTAAGTTAACATCCACCAGTTTGGCTTTACAACAATCTGACCCTGCCTGTTAACAGCTTAACCTGAGAGCCCCGAAGGCAAATCGCACTTCTCGTCAAGATACGGCTTTAAATACGAACATTAGCAGTTAAAACTTTGAAGCAACCGAAAGGAATGAGGGATTAGGAGGCGCTGGCGTCCCCTCTGTCGTACACAGCGCGCAGCAGGTCTGTGCAGGGGGCGGGGGCTCCCTCTGCGCCCACCTCCCTCAGCCCCCGCGGGGCCGGCGCCGCGCCCGGGCCGCTCTCCAGTCGCTTCTCCTCGCTCGCTGCCAGCTCCTGGGGGACTCTGTCCCGGGCCCGTTTCGCAGCCGAGGCTTTGGGCAGGGTCATCTGGAAGGCGCACCAGAGCACGGTCCGCACCTTGCGCGTGGCCTGGCACAGCGCTCCGAGTGCCACGGCCAGAGCCAGCACCACTGCGGGGAAACGGCCCCTTAGTGCCAGCACCACTGCGGGGAAACGGCCCCTTAGTGCCAGCACCACTGCGGGGAAACGGCCCCTTAGTGCCAGCACCACCCGGGGAAACGGCCTGTTAGTGCCAGCACCACCCGGGGAAACGGCCCTGTTAGTGCCAGCACCACTCGGGGAAACGGCCCCTTAGTGCAGCCCTGCAGGTCCCTCCCCACACCATGGCCTCCTAGGGCTCACCTGGCCTGGGCTTTACAGGGGCAGACCCGAATTGGGAAGGGGTGTTGAACCCCCGTGCTGTGGAGTGGGCAGTGGTCCTGTTATTCTGTTATCCTGTTATTTTGACACAGGGTGCCCAGAGAAGCTGTGGCTGCCCCTGGATCCCTGGAAGTGTCCAAGGCCAGGCTGGACGGGGCTTGGAGCAACCTGGGCTGGTGGAAGGTGTCCCTGCCCATGGCAGGGGGTGGGAATGGGATGGGATTTAAGGTCCCTTCCCGCCCAAACCATCCTGTGATTCCATGATAGATGTTTAACATCAGATCAGATGGAACATAAAGGTGCTGTGGGAACAGGGCTGGGCCAGGCAAGAACTCCCAAACAAACCAAAACCATTAACAGGAAAGCTCTGCCAAAGAGAGGAGCTGTACAGCTTCAGGCCCTTCTCTGGAGGCTTTCCCAGACACACAGCAAATACAGTTACTACATGCAATAATTTACTGTTTGAAAATCCTCTCCAGCTGCTGCCCAAGGCTCCCTCTCCTCTCCTCTCTCCTCTCCACTCCAACTCTTTCCATACTATTCTGTTCCAAAGAGCTCCCAGATCTGGTAGTCCCAGGTAAAGCGAGGGCTAATTATATTCAAGGGCTTCAACACCCAAAAACCCCACCCTTCACCTTAAGAAGTCCCATAATCTTCAGTCAAGGTAAAGAGAAACAAGAATGACGGTGAACAGCTGAAAAGAAAAACTGTTGTGGTGTATCTTTTGAGGTAAACTTGGGAATTACAGAACTGCATGGTGGGACACCCCAAAGAAGTAAAATAATCCCTGTAATTCAGATGTGGAAAGGAAGGCAGAAGAGATCAGAGGACTCAGAAATGTCAGGTTCTGACACAAGGCAGGAGGTCAGGGAGCAGGAATTTACCCTGACTCCCATCTACAGGACAAGGGAACCTGCCACTCTGCCTGTGCACCAGTGAGAGGTTAAGCTGAGTATTTGGCTTATTTTGGATACCACTAAGAATGAAAACATTGTGACCAGTCTATGTGCCAGTCTATGATGACAGAACAAGCTTGAAGAGGAAATCCATTTGTAACCCAGGGCCATCTCTATCTCTTTGGGCAGATTCAGCATGGAAATACCAGGGAAGTTCTACACAAAGACAGAGCTGGAGGGGTGCTGGGAACAGGAATATGAGGGACAGGGAGAAGAAAGAGGCAATAGCGTAATATCATCTCCAAACCCTGAGTGGGTTACCAAAAAACCCCACTAATTTCTATTCTTTGCTAGTTCATTAATTGAATAACCCACTCTAAAGTGATTTAACTCACTTATCTCTAAACCCCAGTTTCAGTGTCTCCTCAAACCCTCATCCAAACCCCACTCAGTCTGCCTTTGGCAAAGCCCCAACACTGAAAAATCAACTCAAACTTGACTCCAATCCCCCTCCCTTATTTTTCCCAGCCTTGCCCCCGTGCCCAGGTTCCCCAGCTCAGCTCACCTCTCTCGTCCTGGCAGCGGGGCGGGCCGTGCCGCTGCCGGTTGGAAGGGTTCACAATCTCATCCTTCCTCCGTGCCTGCACCACGTGGATGGACTCCAGGTGTTTGTCCAGAGCAGTGGAGATGTTGGCATGGAGGGGGGAACTGCGGAGCCGCTCCATCTTCCCCAGCAGGGTCACAACCTGACCAACAGTCCACACGTCATGGGAGTTCTCACCCACAGTGCTCACCCACACTCACCAGAGAACTCACGAATTAGGAAGAGCAGGTTCATGATAATCATTATTTTGCTCTGAAACAGTTCATAGAGTTATAGCTGAAGCAGTTTTAAGTTCTTACCTGGGGTTGTTCATCCCCAAACCCAAAGCTGCAGCACACCAGCAAAGCTACAATACCCCCACACGAGGACCCCCAGCCCAGTGGTCAATGACAGATCTGTGCAGCTTTGAGACATGCCTGGAACGGGAGGTGGGTCCATGACAACATGCATGTCCCTGAATCCAGAGCAGTGGGGTCCTCCCTTCCTGCAGCACTGCTGCAATTCCTGGGTGAAAACTAATTCCACCCAGGTGATGCCCCTGTGCTGTGCAGGGCAGCTGGACTGGGAAAGGGAAAGCTGCACTGGAACCACACGTGTGGTGGCTTTTGGGATGAACACTCAGCACTAAAGGGGCTGAGCACAAACATTCAGAAATAATTCAGATTTGTCTGATCCACTGAAAATCTGCATCTTTGTTGTCTTGTTTATCCTACACCAGTCACATCACTGGGTTTCCCCCCGGTGAGTGACTGCTCAGCCACGTTCACAGGGCACTGAGAACCTGGTTTGCAGGAAGAGGTAAGACTAAACATCCCCAAACTGCAATATTCCTTGGGCCATGGCTGCACTTGATGGCCTAAAGTAACCAAAGTAACGGGTGTGACCTCCAAAAGGATTTAACTGGATGCTCCACGCTGGGAAAAGTTAATCCCAGACTGAGCCAACTCAGCTTCCACTCCAACCTTTGCTCCTCTCTGGCCATCACTGAGCTGTCTGATGTCAGAACCCAGGCTCAACAGCCCCACTGTGCTTCTGAGCATCCTTAAAACTACTTCTCAGTTGCCACCTAACAAGCGTTTGAGGTTCTGTACCCGGAAGTTTGGTTTCTCAAATGGCTGCAGAGGAGGGAGTCCTGTTTTAGAGGCAGCTTTAAGGTACAGGGCAAGGACAGGCAAGGCTTCTGAACGTGGAGGCTCGGGGTTTGTGCTCTCCCCTGCAGAACCCTGCCAGCTGCTGCCTCCCCAGGGCTGCACAGAGCCACTGCAGCTCAGCAGACCCCACTCACACCTGCCCCACGGGTTACGGCTCCCTGGATTTGGCATCAAACTAATAACAAAAATTCAGGCTGAAATTGCATCAAATAACCATTCTGCATTAAAAAATAACAGACTCTCAAGCAAATACATATCAAAGTCTTCCAAACATGAATTAAACTTGCTTTTCCCCACAAATACCTCCCCCAGCCCAGTGCCCCCAAACCCACAGCGAGCATCCCCCTGCTGAGCTCTGGGAATGCAGCACAGCTGAGAGTTGTGCAGGCACAGCTCCAGGACTGGGTGCTGGCCCCACCTGCAGCTCTTGCAGCAGAACCCCCACCCTCTGGGCACGTGGGGATGTAACTGGGAGCCTCAGCCCCTGCCAGGCTCCCTGGTAACGGCACAGGGATCCTGGAGCTGCAGAAACTCCAGCAGGATCTGCTGAAATGTTATTCCCTGCACAGAACAAAGCTATTTTGGGAAAAGCTGCTCTGATCATCTTACCTATCTCACACTGTACTCTAAGTTCTGTAGGATAAGTTCAATAGAGTTTTTTTTTTTAGTCCCACAACTCACTCTGGCTTGTTCCCGTAGCTGATCCACAATTAAGCGATCGACTCTTGATGGATTTGATGTCAGCCTTGGAATTGGAATGTTGTTAGTACTGGAAACCTTTTTCCCTTGGAAATTCTTAGCAAGAGCTGATTCAGTCTGCAGGAAAACAAAAGAACAACTCCTTCAGAACGCACGTGTGGCGTGTGCTTCGTTACAGAAACAAGAAAAAATATCAGATATTCCATTTCTTCCCCTCAGGGTTTTGGATTTTTTTTAAAGGAGATAATGAGGATTCAGGCATTTGGGATTTAACCCTCTGGTGAGACAATCACCTGCTTTAAGTGAACAACTGCTTTACTCAAAGCAGTGCAACTAAAGCAACCGTGCCAACACACCGTGTTCCAGCAGTGCTATGTCTGCTCACTCTGACTACAGCCTGTACTGGGGTTTGCCTGGAAATAAAATGGAGGCAAGTCAGAATTACAGGGAAAAAAATGACCAAACAGGTGTGGATAAATTAAAACTGTTTCAGTCAGCAATGAACCTAATTTTTATAAGAATCACTTAAACTACAAAAAGATTTTTTTTCTGAGCACTCTGGGCTAGTGGAAGGTGTCCCTGACCAGGGCAGGGCAGTGGAACTCGATGGTCTTTAAGGTCCCTTCCAACCCAAACCATCAGAAAATTACTTTGAAACCTGATTGCAACACTTCAAATCTCAGATTTTTTTGCATTACAACATCTCATTAGCTAAATCTGCATCAAAATTGCATTTCTGGGGTGGTTTCATAGTGGTTTACTAGTTATAAGAGCATGGAGTGCCAAGACAAGGGGCAATGGCTTCACACTGGGAGAAAATAGGTTTAGATTGGATATTAGAAAAAAATTGGTTCCCTGTGAGTGTGGGGAGGCCCTGGCACAGGCTGCCCAGAGAAGCTGTGGCTGCCCTTGGATCCCTGGAAGTGTCCAAGGCCAGGTTGGACGGGGCTTGGAGCAACCTGGGCTGGTGGAAGGTGTCCCTGCCCATGGCAGGGGGTGGCACTGGATGGGCTTTAAAGGTCCTTTCCAACCCAAGCCATGCTGTGGTTCTATGCCAAAGCTGCAGCTGAATTTCCCCCACCATCCCCAGGCCATGCACATGCCAACTGCTCCTCCCCTGCGCTCTTCATGCACCCCAGAAATCCCCTCCTCAAGCTGGGTTCACTCTCCTCCAGCCCCTCTATTCAAAGCAACCATTGGCTTTTGTCAGGAAACACTTTGGCAAAATTCCCCCCTTGGAATTAGGTTTCTTGGGGGGGGGTTAGCACAGGAGAGCTCCCACTGTTGCCAGGTAACATTTGGCCCAGCTTCCCCCACAGACAGTCCCACGGACTGAAATTCCAACCCCATCCCAACTGGTGAAATGAAGACACATTTTCCTCCTGCTGCTGACCAAAAAGGGCACCTGCTTTTAGCAGGGCTTCACACAGCACTGCCTGAGCCTTTTACTTCAAGGGTTTTAAATGAATCACCCTTTCTTCAGCCTCTGTTTCTGGGGAAAAAAGAGCCCCTTCACATACACCTCAGGTTTAAACCTTCAGGGAAACAGAAGGTGAGAACTCATTGTAGCATCTAAGAAATTAAATTGAAAGAATTGAAAGAAACTGTATTTACTGTATTAATAAAAAAGGTGTAACACAGTTGTTGCTCCCAGCCAGGCTCCAAACCTCCAAACCCTCCCTTTCCAGTCCCAAACACACAGGGAAGCAAACTTGTAACTTTGCAGTCCCATTAAACATTTCAACTCCCAACAGCCCAACCACCCCTGACTGCACTGAGCAGGATGAGATCTACATCAAATCTGTGATGTTACTTTAGTTTGGGATTTTTTACCTTCTTCCTTTCCTTCTCCAAAGCTCTCCACTGCTCATAGCACTCCTCCAGCCTCACGTGCAGCTCGCTGGCCGGGCCACTGCGGCTCTTCACTTGCTTCTGAAAGCCGAATGCTGACACGAAACCAGAGAGAGCACTGTCACTGTACATCTTGTCTGTGAAAGGGTACAGGCGTTTGAGGTCATCCTGGGAGAACAAGGTGGGAGGCTCCACCAGAGGCACCACGGAACGGCCCAGCAGGTGAGCGGATCTCACGGGGAACGCGCCCGATCCCAGCTGCCGGTTCCGCCTGAAGTCTCCCACCACGCAGTTGGGAATGCCTGGAGCCTGCAGGCTGCTGCCAGCACTGATGGCACCGCTGTCCCCGCTCCCTGCCCTGAGATGGAGCTGCCCCTGAGACTCCAGTAGCTCTTGGTACATGTCCTGCAACACCCCATCCGCCTGGTTCTGGCCTTCCAGGTCACAGTGCTCGCTCTGCGGCTTCAGCTGGAAACGCTGTTTGTTCAGGTTGTCAATGATCCCAAACTGCTGAGCCAAGTAACTGTCACAGAATCCATTCGGCTGCTTCAGCTTCTTCTCGCTGAGGTACTCGATGAGGTTCTCTTCCCCACCCCTAACCAGGGCTTCCACGCACGCAGCCGCCCGCGCTCGTTCCGCAGCGCTGTAACCCAAGTCGAGGCCGGAGAGAAACGGGTTGTCTTGATAGTGCTTGTGAAGTAAATTACAGTTTAAGGGCAAATTTGAAGATGGCAACTGAAAAACATCATTAGAATGACTGGAACTTTTTGGAAACGCAGGTGACTGATTATTCACCTTCAACAAAGGACTTGGATTCTGGAAGGGGCCGGAAGCAGCGGGTTTGGTTTGGATGTTCATCCACGCTGGCCTCGCACTGGAGCCTGCTGAAGGCACTGCTGCATTGGGCAACAGTGAGAGTGATTTATAGAATTCAGGATTCTGAAGATCGGCCTTGGAAAACTGCTGCTTTTCCACACCATTATTCCCTGGACAAGCTGCAAAAGACTTTAGTCCATATTCAATTTTCTGCCCAAAATCAGTGCTGAAGGAAGGCTCGTTTGCAAATTGTTTTTCTGATACAAGTCCTACAGACTTGGGAAATGTAAAGTCATGCTGATCTGAAATCATATCTTCAAATTTTTTCTGAGTTCCTGATTTAACTTGAAATAATTTAGCATAAGGCTCTGCATCCAGAGATGGTGCCTCGGGGGTTCCATTTACCACCTTTCTACTTTCTTGGAGGCTACAACTGGTGCTCTTGTTGGGCTTTGCCTTACCAGCATGAGAATATTCAGTGTATCTGCCATAATCTGTGCTTTCACTGTACCTGTGACACTGGGGAAGGAATGTTTCTGCCCGCTTTGGGTGCACCTGTGCATCTGCTCCCTTGGGACACACCTTCTCTCTTCCGTAAGAATAAGCATCAGCTCCCGAGTCTTTGATTGCTTCTGGGTACCCAGCCTGGGGTGCAAAGGTGTTTTTCAGGTAGGGGTAGTTCTGATACACAGGAGTTGCCTTCACAGCCTCGTTACTCTGCATGCTGGCACGCTCAGCCCTGGCAGGGTACAGGCTCTGCTCCTCCAGCTCCACGCCGGCGAAGCCGCGGTAACAATCGTCTGCTTTCTGCTGGGACACCAGGGGGGCGCTGGCCAGGAACTGCTTGTCAGCAGCAGGGACAGCCTCGCTGCTGTAGAAGCCCTGCTGGGGGACAGCTCCAGCACGCCTGCCTTCTGGCAGCAGCTCGTGGTGCTCCATTCTGCTCGCATTCACTGGCCAGAGGGACTTCAAGGTGGGAGGGCAACTCCTTGGGAAACAAGAAATGTGCAGTCAGAGTCTGATCCGCGGTGCTGCTCTTCATTCCCAAACACAAAAGGAAGTTTAAGAACCCAGTTTGTCCCTAATCGTTCCAAGATGTCTGACTTCAGCTATCACTCCTTCCTGTCACCTTCAGTTTCCCTCACCCAGCTGAGAAAACCAATTCTGCCTCGTGTAAATTCTGCCCACCCCCCAGCTCAGGAGCTACAGACCAACTCGTGGTCCATCAGTGCTGCCAGGAGATTTACTGTCCATCCCCACCAAAATCCTCCTGCTTCAGCACCAATTCAGGTAACCAAAGTGCCCTCAGCCTTCCCAGGCCACGTCCCAGCACTCCAGAGGAAGCTTCTCTCTCCCCTCACTTGTGCCTTCCACTGGCCTGCACTGCTTCCTGCAGGTAGAGCCAGGGCAGCATCCCAGCACACTGCCCTTCCACCAGCACCAGGAATTAACCAGGACAATCTATCCCTCACTGACCAGGAAAACTGCAAACAGACTAAGGAAACGGAAAATTGTGCCTGGAAGTCACTGCAGGCCAAATGTGGGATTACTGCAAACAGAATTCCAGCCCTGCCTGTCCAAAGCAAAGGAATTACTGAGTTATCTCACGACTGACTGAATTTTTCCCTCATTTCAGCCACATAACTCAGCACACATATAGAAATCACTGGAGTTGTTTGGGAAGAGAGAATGAAAAAGCAGTGCCTGCATTGGGAACCTAAGAGTTGGGTTCCCTCTCTTGCCTCTTAGACCTGGAAAAGACAGGGAACACTGTAAATCTCTTGGGGATGCTGGACCTGCATCCTTCTGTGTCATGTGGTTATGACTATGTGATTGTCCCTCCTGTGCAGGAATACAGGCAAAATAAACCTGACATTTAGATATGCAAATATTGCTTAGGTAGCACGAACAGCAAGAAACATTCATTTTGCATGGAATTCTCCCCTGCCATTTCAGGAAAGTGTGAAGGAGTCTGATTTGTGTATTCCTTCTGTGAACTGACATTAATTAAGACAGAAACTTAAAGTCTGAATTCAGTCTTGATTTAAAAGACAACAGGCCAAGGCATACATCCAAGGAATTTATCTGAATACAGCATGCCCACAACACTCATTAAGGCCTTATTTTAAAAATGCCAATTAGCAAGTTCTGTAAATACCAGAGAGCCAGGAGCTGCCATGCAATCTGAGTGCCTGCAGAAAAGACTCCAAGGATCCCAAGTGAAATGTTGGAAGATCAGGGGGAGGAAGGGGAAGCACACAGAGCATGAGGCCTGGGCAGAAGCAGATGTGGAGCCAGCTAATGAGCACAGGGAGATCAGGGAGGGGAGATCCTGTCAGAGGACACCTCAGCAGCAGCACCTGCACCACTCACCCCTCAGCAAAGCACGGCTGTGGTTTGTCTTGTTCTTCCAGGATGTTTGACACGAGTCCATATAAATCTGTTTCACTGCCATAATCGTTCCTTTCGGGCTGAATCCTGAAAACCAAGGGTGTACTAATTAAAACAATTCCTTCATTCAAAGCATTTCCTAAGTCAAATTTAACAAACAAATCTAATCCATCTCCTCCACCAACACACACACTCCCTGCTGAGGATGAATACCTGGGCTTCAGGTTAATCTGAGGAGCAGCAGGCTGCTTGCTGTCATCTGCACACGTAGACCAGGGGGGGTACAGGAGGGAAGGGTCCATGGGTGCAGAGTACTCTGATGTTGAAAGGGAAGAGCTGTAGGTCTGAGGTAACTCCACATTTTCTTCATTCTGCATTTAATGTAAATAAAAGCACTGATTTAATATTAAACACTTCAAACTGTCATTTTGCTGCTCTGTGTGGTTATAACCAGGTTCACTCTCAGAGGAACCAGCACATGAGAACCAAGATCCACACACTGGGAACACAAAAACTAAGCAGAATTATCCGTATCTTTAAGTAGGACTCTCTGAATCTTTATGCAGAATTCTCTGTCCCTCCCTTTGCTCTCTGGGGCAGATGGAAGCTGATGGCATCATTCTCACCTTTAGCCCCTCTTCTGAATACAAACACACATTCTAAGGTGTGTTAAACAGCTGTTGCTTTGATGCTCACGCAAAGCTGTTGTATTTTCTGTCCTGCTGGGCAGTGGTTTGAGAAGATGTGGCCCTGGAGCTGCAGCTCACACCTCTGGCTCTCAGCCTTGGCTTCTGTGTGTTCTGAGCTGAGCTTGGCTTGAAACAGAGGAGGGGGAACCTCCCCAGACCACCAGAGCCCCTCAAAGAGGCCCAGGCAGGAGCAGTAACAGGTGTTGCCTGAAGCTGTGCAGGCTCAGTCACTCTGCATTAGGTAGGGGGGTTTATGTAAACTTTAGTGTATAAATCTTTCTCTTTTCACTCCTTGGTGTTCTCCATTTGAGAAAACTTTCCACCCTGCACCCTGTGCTGAAGGAACAATGTCTCCTTTCTCAGCCTGACTCTTTGGTTGTGTTTAGAGTGTTCCTAAAACCAGCACCAGTTTTGGTGGCCCAGGTGGGATGGAGTGAATGGGACCAGGATGTCACACAGCAGCTGCCAATGGCTGAGGGAATCACCAGGAGCAGGTGGAGAGGGAATTGTGAAAGCCTCACCTTAGGACATGGGGGGAAGTTTGGAGGGGATCCCCCTGCCAGACAAAAGGCAATTATGTATTGTAACCAGTGATGGCCTGTGTATGCATTAGAGAAAAAGGCTCTGAGTGGAGCTCTGAATTACAATACTATCACACAGGATGCAGTTCATGTTATTTTGTCACTGAGAAGAAAAATGGGACATTTTTCTTTGCATCGTGGAACAATTAAAATGCTCAAAGGGGCTGTGAACTGATGACAGCAGACAGGAATGCTTTAGCATTAGACACAGGAAGAGAAGTGTAACAAAAAGGATGAGGTGGAGAAGAGCAAATAAAGAAGAGAGCCAGGGAGAAGAGTTCAGAAAAGGGATGATAGACAAGTTTGGTTGATGGCTGTAACAGGTGGAAAGGGGGAGAGACACCCTGTTCCCCACCAAGGGAATTGGACTTTGACTGCTCAATTCCCATCACAGGAACAGATCAATGTGCTCATTGAAAGCAGAAATGCCCCCAGAATCCAGGACGTGTGGACAACCCTCCAAGGGGGAGGAACACTGCTGCACTCCATTGGGATTTACATTGACAGGGACCAGAGAGCTCAAAAACTCCCCAGCACAACCCCTGGTCACAGGAAAGTTGGGGAATAAAAAGGTAGAATTTCTAACAGATGCAGGAACAACCTCCTTGGTACTGAACCCATGTAAAGGAGAGCAGAGGAAACACAGCACACCTGTAGTGCAGCCACAGGGAAAAAGGAAGTAAGGCCTTTCTTCCAGACCCTCAACTTTGGAATTAGAAAAAGAGTTTTAACCCAGAAGCTTCTGTACATATCTGACTGCCCAATGCCATTATTAGGAAGACACATGAAGTAAATTAAATGCACAAATAACCTTTGGAAAAGGACAGATCCAATTACACACATGAAAAAAAAAAAAAGCCCTGAGGACACAAGGTACAGGATCAAAAGGACCCCAAGGAAGAGACACCCAAAGAAGAGGCAAATGCAGTGACTCCTCTGGTGTGGGTGACCAGTTCTCCTGGAAGATCACAAGAAGTGAAACTGGTAATGATCCAGTTAAACCAGGCACCAGACCAGTAAGAAAAGGACAATACTCTATGAAACTGGAAGCTGGAAAAGGACTAGAGCCAAACATGGAAAGATGCATCAGCTCTGGGAATGCCAGTCTGAGTTTAATACCCTAGTTCATACCCGGATGAATACCAACTCATCCAAGATTTAAGAGCCATAAATCAAATAGTGCAAGATGTGCATCCAGTTGTAGCCAACCCATATCTACCCTTCTAACCACATGAGAAGAGACTGATCAGTGGTTTACAGTACTGGACTTGTAAGATGCTTTCTTTTGTGCCTCACTGGACACCAGAAGTCAGGAGTTATTTGCATTTTAACAGGAGGATCCATGAACAGGGTGAAACACTCCATTATGCTGGCCTGTTGTACCACAGGGATTGAAGAAGTGCTCTATGAATTTTGGAAAACAGTGTAAAACTGTGTATCCTTGGGATTGGAATGGGAAGCATCACAAAAAGTACACTGAAGAAATGGGAACTGTGTCCACAGATCCAGCCTCGGCCTCCCCCAGGACAAACCAAGAAAGGAACACACCAGGAAGTTATTGGCAAATTGATTGCTCTGAATTCCCACAGCAAAATGGGTATTGATACTTATTGGCACGTGGATACATTCTCTGGGTAGCCTGAAGCTTCTGCCTGTCCAACCAACGAGGCTGGAAGGGTCCTGCTGGGAGAGACCATTCCCAGGTACAGGATACCCAAAGGTGTGCCATCCAACTGTCCTGGTTCTGGGTAGGACAGGGTTAATTTTTGCAGTAGCCAGGAGGGGGCATGGCCAGGACTCCGAGGTTATTTTGTACCACCTCGTGTCACTGCCCGGGGTGAGGGAAAGGGACTCTCTTCTGGGGAGAAGGGGCTCCTTCTGATCAAGAGAAGTGGCAGAGGGAGCTGCTATTGGGAGTTCATCCACGTGAATTGTTTCTTTTCTTGTAACCCTCTGTCATTAATACTGTTGCTGTTACTGTTTGTTTTCTTATCTCAGCCCGTGATCTTTGCCTTTTGTCTCTCCTCTCCCTCCCACCACAGCAGGGAGGGAGAAACACAGGAGTGACAGAAAGCCAGGTGGTTTGGGGAACCATTCCTGAACCTTGACAGCCTTAACTGGTGCCCAGTGTGGAGCACAAAAGGCTGTAGTGATGTAAATAATTATCTCCCTAGGGAAAGTTTTGTCCTCTATCAACAGGTCTCTTCAGTGCAGGAATCCAATTGGATTGGACCTTCCTGTTCCCCCTCTCCAGGGGGGAGCTCGGGTCAATCCAAGACCATGGAATAACGAGCCCCTAAAGGAACACTGGAAAGGAATGGAGCACAACACACACAGCTGGGACACTGCAAGGACTACTGAGGAAACCCACTGAAGAAATGACAGGAGCAGGACAGTGAGAGGTCACCCCCTCTAGACCTCTGGGACTAAACAAATGGAGGAGTAACTTCCCGAGCTGCACCTGGGAACAAGGCCTGTCTTACACAGAACCTGAATGCCCTCAGGGGCAGCAGCATCTCTGAGTGCAGGAGTTATTCCAGACAAACACAACTCCATGGACCAGGACTGCCAAGGCACTGCCAGGTGTCCAGCCTGGTATAATTATAATGTTGGTATCATTTTACAGTGCTTGAGCCCCTTACTGTGATGTGTTTCTCTGAATTGCTTTCTGAATATGAAATTTATAGAGGGAACCCTTTTACTCTTTCTTGTCCAGTCAAATACTGTAACAAAAAAACAAGTGTGCAGTGGTTTAAAGAGGATGGAAGAGAATTTAAATTATTAATTGTTACAACTGAATGTGGATCTGATAATGTACAGTCCCTCAAAATGTCCTTTGCTGCATAAGGAGGAGGAAGTAAATATCATGGCTGAACCACAGGAGAGGGCCATTGGATACAAGGAAAGGTAAAAGGAAAACCCTTCCCTGAATGCCTCCCAAAGCCCCTCAAATCTGGGAAATTGGCCTGTGCATAACTAAGGAGGCAGGGAAACAACAAATACTATTTAATACTGACTATGCTAAAAACCAAAGTCTGTGACATCCATCCCATTGTTGCTCCAGGTGTGATCAATAATGGAACCACAATGTATCCAACAGCACAGGGAGGAAAGAAACACATGAGAAGCACAGATATCAGCACCTGCAGAGCACAAGGGTTTGTCTGTGAAGAAACAGAACTGGAGCTCAAGATATGTGCCCAGATACAAACAGAACACCTAAATCTGAAATTCCACCAGAGATCAATATAAAAATGGTACTTTGAACATATAGGGAAAGGGGGGGTGCTTTAGTACTGCTTGTGAATGCATAGAAATATAAATCAATTAAATCACATTCCAATTGTGTTTGTACATTTACCCAGATCAGAGGCTGTGATTTTAAATACTCAGCCCCAGAAACTTCTTTCCAAGTAATAAAACCAAAATATACCTTAACTGCAAGTATAGAACCTACTTCTCTGGGTAGTCCAATAAAGAAATTGCTACAACATAAAAATTTGCAAAGGCTGTTAAAAGAAGCTAAAGAGAGTAACAGAAATACTTTATTACTGCCCACCATGACAAAAACAAATCCATCAGCTAATGGAAAGAGTAAAGAAAGCTGGAAATCACCATTGGTGGGATATTTCATTCAGATGGTCTCCAACAGCACCAGGAATTTTTAATAAAATGCTACATCATCCAAGAAAGCCAATGGATCCTGGCCTGGCTCAGGAACAGAGTGGCAGCAGGAGCAGGGAAGTGATTCTTCTCCTGTACTCAGTGCTGGTGAGGCCACCCCTGGAGTGCTGTGTCCAGCTCTGAGCCCCTCAGGTCAGGAAGGACAGGGAGGGGCTGGAGCAGGTGCAGAGAAGAGCAACCAGGCTGGGGAAGGGCCTGGAGCACAGGTGCTGTGAGGAGAGGCTGAGGGAGTCTGGGATTGTTTAGTCTGGAGGAGGCTTAGAGGTGACCTCATCAGTCTCTGCAGCTTTGACAGGAGGTTGTAACCAGGTGGGGGTTGGTCTCCCAGAACCAGAAGTAGGACAAGAGGGCTCGGTCTAAAGCTGTGCCAGGGGAGGTTTAGGTTGGATATTGGGAAGAAATTCTTTACAGAGAGAGTGCTCAGACACTGGAATGGGCTGCCCAGGGAGGGGGGGAGTCACTGCAGGCTCAGTGACTCTGCAGTAGGTGGGAAGGAGCTCTGGATGAGGTAGGTGGGTTTATGTCAACCTTAGGGCATAAATTCTCCCACTTTTTACACCTCAGTGTGCTTGATTTTTGGAAAACTTCCACCTTGCACCCTGTGCAGAATGAACAACGTCTCCTTTCTCAACTTGACTCATTGTCTGTGTTTAGAGAGTTCCTAAAATTGTCAACACTGTCAGCCTAAAACACCTGCTCCTGTTTCTAACAGATGATCCCTGACAGGGGTCAGGAGAAATCTCCTTTCTCCCCACCATGACAGGTTATTTAAGCTACTGAAGAAGACTTTCAGCCAATTCTTTTCTTGAGGAAAGGTTCCTGATTAGGTGAAAAGGAGTATTTGCCTGTTTGGTTTAAACACAACCGGCCTTCTTAGCTCTTAATAAGTGAAAAAATTAATTAATGGTGCTTTTGCAGGGTTGAACGTTAAAGACAGGTGATACATTCCTTAGTGGAGCAGAGTAGTCTGGCAGCAACAGGAAACCTCCCACAAAGCCAGGTTTCACCCCAGTAAGGCTTTGTGCCTAATCACAGACACATCTCTGCCACACTTCTGGGTTCCCCATGTCTGTAAGCACAGAAAGATGCCCAGTTGCTGGGTGAAACCACAAAATCCTGGATGGACTAAGTAGCAAGTCTGATCTTGAAGGTGGTGGGAATGAATTTTCCTTTGAGTCTTCTACCTCAGCATAGGTTTATGGCTATTAAAGGCAAAAACTCCAAGAGAGATCTGATTTCTTTAACTGTCTTGGCACTTTCTACTGGTCAGACTAAGAACACTTGGACTCTACACCTGTCATGTGCCACAGAAATACCTGTGGAAATAGCTAAGGTTCTCCTTCTTACGGACTTCCCAGTTTTCCTTTGCTCCTCATTTTGTCTACAACTGTTTATGCCAGCAGAAAAACAAAGAACACAGTGAAATACTAATTTACAAACCTTATTGCTTCACCTGTGACTGCACCAGAAAAGCCCCTGTCCCCTCTGGTGCACGTTACACCACAGAGGTTTGTCACCGTTAATCACATGCGGTGATTCACCTTCACCACCACAAGCAACCGCTTTGGAAACACGCTTTGTTTACAACCAACCCAAACCCTCACAGAGACACAAAGAACAGCTCAGAGCCAACCGGACCTGTGATTTGTAGCAGCCATAGAGCGAGCCTGAGCCCGGCATTCCGGCGCCGAACACGTCCGTGGGCCTCCCGCCGGATTCCGCGCTGCCCCAGCAGCGGCTGCCGCCTCGGAACACCACGCTGGGCTGCAGGGACAGGGACAGGGACATCAGCACACCCGCACGGACACGACTGTACACAGAGCTGAGCTGTGGATTTCAAACCCATGTTAACTCCTTTGATACTTTTATTTACCGGTGGATTCTGCTCATCAAAGTTTTAGGAATCGGCTTTTTGTATTGATGTGAAACACCTTCATGTTTACCCTTAATGAAGAGCTGAACCCACCAAAGCACAAGGAGCTCAAAAGGTGTTAGGAGATCAAGAGGAAAACCTGCACTCTCCCTGTTTGCACAAGCTGAGCTTCCCAACACCAGAGACACAACAGAGGAACATCAGCCACAGGAGCAGGAGAACGCTCATGGAATCATGGAATGGTTTGGGTTGGAAGAGACCTTAAAGCTCAGCCAGTCCAACCCTCTGCCATGTGCAGGGAACCCTTTGACCAACAGCAGCAGAGTCATCATTCAGCCTTCCACACACTCCTGGGCACCTCTGGTGCTTCCCTCACTGCTCCCATCCCGCTGTTTATGTCACTCGCAGGCAGAGGTGTGCATTTCCACATGCCAGGAGCAATAATACACACCCTGGGAGCTGTGGTGGAAATCTGCTCCCTTTTGAACTATGGGAGAAACAACTCCCACCTGAAAGACCCCCCTGCCCATCACCTCCTGCAAGAGCCAGAAATCACTGGCCAGCAGGAGCAAGGAATGGGAACAAACAAAAACTGAGGGGTCTCCTTCCCCTCTCCAGAGGGTGGAGTACACTAGGGAAACCTGCACTGGCTGGGTAAGAACCCCTCGAGCTAACAAATCCAAAAGTGAAGTTATTGGCATCACATTACCATGGTAGCTCATCTGCAATGATTATGAAATTCAGAAAAAGTCAAGGTTTCACAGGGTTCTGAAGCGTTCTGAGTAAGCTCTGCACTCTAAAAACACCTTCTTCTAAAGGTCCCTGAGGATGCACCAAACCTCAGTGACCTACAGCATGATCTTCATCCACACCACAGTCAACTGTGTACTTTTCTGTGGTTTTGAGGCACATCTTCCAAACCCAGGAACACACAGAGCCAGCCCTGGGCTCAGCCCACGCCCTGGGCTCATCCCGCCGTGTGTTCCCCTCAGGGCCCCCCGTTCACAGCCACACCCATCACTCATGTCTTGTGACCCCACAGAACACGGGAGAACGCCCAGAATCACAGACTCAACTGGGCTGGGAGAGACCCCTGAGACCATCGTGTCCAGCCCTTCACCCACCTCCTCTACTCGCCCACAGCACAGGTCCCTGGGACGTCCCCAAACCCGAACTTCCCCCCGTTTTTCCCAAACAGGTGTTTTCCAGAACGCTTGGAGAGGGGCGTTTCCCACCGGTTTGAGCTCTGTCTCATACCCCCGGAAGGGCGGCGGGGCCCCGAGGCCGGAGGGGGCGGCGGGGCTCGGACATTCATGAGGGGCGGGCGCGATCCTGGCCGGGGGTTCCCTCAGCAAGGGCGGGGCCGGAGCGCCGGGGCAGCTCCGGCGGGCGTGTGACGGGTGGGGCCGCAGAGCTCTCCCCCGTCCCGTTCCCCGTGCCCATATCTCTATATCTCTATATCTCTATACCTCTATATCCCTCTATCTCCATCCCCCGTCCCCGCCCTCACCTCCATGGCTCTCGGGCCGCGGGCCCCGCGCGGGGCCGCCCTCAGGCGAGTCCGGTCCGTTGCCCTCGCGCAGGCCGCAACGGCCGCCCCGCCTCCCCGCGCCCCCATTGGCCACCGCCCGCGCCCCCCGCCCAATCGGCGCCCGCCAGGCCGCCTCGCGCCCCCCCGCGCCACGTGACCCCGCTCGGATCTCCACGCGGACCGGCCCTCGCCGAGAGCGGCGGCGGCGGCGCTGATTGGACGCGCCCGCCCGCGCGCAGCCAATGGGGAAACGGCCGCCTCGAGCCGCCCGCCAATCAGCGGCCGCGGGGGGGAAGGTTCGCCCGGAGACAGCGGGGCCCGGCCCTGAGGGAGCGGCTGCCCAGAGAGCGGAGCGGGGCTGGGGCACCCAAAAACAGTGCCGGGTACCCCAAAAACACTGCCGGGCACCCCAAAAACACTGCCGGGCACCCAAAAACAGTGCCGGGCACCCCAAAAACAGTGCCGGGCACCCCAAAAACAGTGCCGGGCACCCCAAAAACACTGCCGGGCACCCCAAAAACACTGCCAGACACCCAAAAACACTGCCGGGCAACCCAAAAACACTGCCAGACAACCCAAAAACACTGCCAGACAACCCAAAAACAGTGCCAGGCACCCAAAAACAGTGCCAGGCACCCCAAAAACAGTGCCGGGCACCCCAAAAACACTGCCAGACAACCCAAAAACACTGCCGGGCACCCCTCAAAACTGTGCCGGGCACCCCAAAAACACTGCCCGGCACCCCAAAAACACTGCCGGGCACCCCTCAAAACAGTGCCGGGCACCCAAAAACAGTGCCGGGCACCCAAAAACAGTGCCAGGCACCAAAAACCAGTGCCAGGCACCCTCCAAAACACTGCCAGACACTCCTCAAAACACTGCCAGGCACCCAAAAACACTGCTGGGCACCCCAAAAACACTGCCGGGCACCCCAAAAACACTGCCAGACACCCAAAAACACTGCCAGGCACCCCTCAAAACACTTCCAGGCACCCTAAAACTGTCAGTCAACCCTCAAAACACTGCCAAGCACCCCAAAACACTGCCGGGCACCTCACAACACTGCCAGGCACCCCAAAAACACTGCCAGGCACTGCCAGGCACTCCCCAAAACATTGCTGGGCACCTCAAAACACTGCCAGGCACCCTAAAACTGTCAGTCAACCCCCAAAACACTGCCAGGCACCCTCAAAACAGTGCCAGGTACCCCAAAACAGTGCCAGGCGCCTCTCAAAACACTGCCAGGCACCCTCAAAACAGTGCCAGGTACCCCAAAAACACTGCCGGGCACCTCTCAGTACAGTGCCAGGCACCCCAAAACTGTCAGTCAACCCCCTAAGCACTGCCAGGCACCCCTCAAAAAGCTGTCAGTAACCCCTCAAAACACTGTCTGGTACCCCCCAAAACCCTGACACCCTCCAAAACCTTGGCACCCCCCAAAACCCTGACACCCTTCAAAACGCTGGCACCACTCCAGACTTTTGTCACTCCCCCAGACCCTGTCACCCCTCTGGACTTTGTCACTTCTCTGAACCCCATCACTCCCCCAAAACCCTGTCACCCCTTTGGATTTTGTCACCTCCCCAGACCCTGTCACCCCTAAGACTCTGTGACCCCTCTGGACCCTGTCACTCCCCCAAAACCCTGTCACTGCCCTGGATTTTGTCACCTCCCCAGGCCCTGTCAGCCCTTTGGATTTTGTCACCTCCCCAGACCCTGTCACCCCCTAAGACCCTGTGACCCCTCCAGACCCTGTCACTCCCCTGGCCACTGTCACTCCCTCAAAACCTTGTCACCCCTCTGGACTTTGTCACTTCACAAGACCCTGTCACTCCCCTGCACTCCATCACCTCCCCAGACCCTGTCACACCCCCCAGACCCTGTCACCCCTCCAGATTTTGTCACTCCTCCAGACAGCATCACTGCTGCAGGCCCTGTCACCCCCCTTTCCATCACAAGGGGCCCGGGGGGATCAGGCACTGAGGGACAGGAGGAGCTCACACCCCCAAACTGCCCCATGCTCGGGCTGGGAGGCTGTAAAAGCCCAGGGGTTCCTTTCCTCAGGCTCCCTCCTTGGAGGCACCAGCTCGAGCTGTGATTTTGTTATTTAGCTTTTGTGATTAAATTATTTTAAGGATCTGGACGTCTGGGACTCTGCTCTGGGAAACCTGGGGTGGAGCTGGTGAGGAGATCTGGGTGACAGTGAGTGTGGGGCTGTCAAGGGGCTTCGGTTCCAGCTCAGGTGGTGTGGGAGTGACTTCCAGAGTGCTCCTGGATGGCTGGACAGGGATGTTTCCTTAACAGGCTGTCCTCAGGTCTCCTCAGTCCTGCACATCTCCCACAGGAGCAGGAGGAACTCTCCATCACCCGTCACCAGTGACAGAGCCATCCCCATGTGCAGTGGGGTCTGTGGGATGAGATCCCTCTGGGGAGCCCCAGGGCTGGAAGAGAAGCCCCAGGGAAGCTGCTGGCAGAGGGAGCCAGGACAAGCAGAAGGGTCACTGCATCACAGCCTGTGTTTCTTTATTCTCCTCCTCACTGCTGCTGGTTCAGATGCTCTGCCAAGTACATGAACATCTCTGTTCTCACTCAAAAGGACTGAGGGAAACCCAAAAGCCCTGAAGCCAAACCTTACTTGTTTTCACTTCTCAAGCTGTTTTGGTCTGCACCCCTCAAACTGTCTTTATGGACTCTGAGGACAGCACTTTTGCTGCCACCTCTGCCCAGGCTGCTGAAGGCAGCAGGTGCCCGCAGGGGCAGATGTTATTTTATGAGTGTTATTTTCTGGTGTGCTGTGATCCATCTCTCACATCCTCAGTGGGTGCTGCCAGCCCACACGATCATGGGGAGAGCAAAGGGATTTGGGGCTGTGGGGCAGGGATTTGGGGCTCTGGTGTAGGGCTTTGGGGCTCTGGGGCAGGGATTTGGGGCTGTGGGGCAGGGATTTGGGTCTGGTTCAGGAGCAGGGAGGGGTGATCCAGAGTCCCCTTCATCTGCAGAGGAGCCACTGTGACCTTTGTGCTTGGTTTAGGGCACTTCACTTTGATTTTCTTCCCCTTTTTAAATGGTGAAAAGTGGGGAAGCACAGCCACTGCCTCACTGTTTCCCTACAAATTCCAATGCTGCATTTCCTGCATTTCCTGCTGCACGAGACCCCTTCAAGGCCACACAGCTGAGATTTGGGAAGCTCAGAGCACTGACAATCCCTCCCCAAACCACACCATTCAGCCAGAGCCTGTGCCAGGGATGACCCTCCTGGCTGGACACCTTTCCAGCTGCAGAGGAAGATGTGGTGGAAACAATCCTGGCACTGCTTGGCTCAGCTCACAGCAGATTGAGGCCCCATTTCTTCATCTCCGAGGCCTGTGCTCTGCACTGAGGCACATCCATGGCCTGAGCCACCTGTCCCTCTGGATTAAAGTGCCCCCAGGGCCACTTTTCCATGGACTGGGCATTCCCCCTGGGGCACAGCTGTCTCTGAGACCTGTTAGAGGCAGCAAACCAGCAGTCACAGTCAGCATGAATGTTTTATCCTGCAGTCAGCCCCCCCAGGAAGCTGCTGGGACGGGCTGGGAAGGCACTAAAGTTCCCTATTAAAGCTAGATTAAGAATTAAATTATAACAGAATTCAATTAAAACAATTAAAAATTATTAAAAGGTAATATTATTAAATTATTAAATTATATAACTATAGTATATAATTACATAAAGATATAAGATGTAATATGTAGTCTATATAATTATATAAATATGATATATAGATATAGAAAGATGTAGTAAATATTATAAATTATAAAATTATAAAAATATATGAATGCTATTAATATAGTAAAATCACACTAAATATTAGAGATAATAATGAATATTATAATTTTAAAAATTAAATTAAATTAAAATAAAATGAAAGAATTTAAAGAATGAAAGCAGGGGCTGTCTGGCAGCCCGGCCCCGCTCACACTCACACCGCGGGGCTCGCCCGTCCTGTCACCGCGCTGCCCGCGGGACGGGACCGGGACCGGGACGGAACCGGGACAGGGATCAGGATCAGCCCGACCCCACCACGGCCCCTCCAGAATGCCATCCTGGGCCGTTTGGGCACACCTGTGTCCCATCCCAGCCCCATTCCGTTCCCACCCCATGTCCCATCCCGTGCCCTGTACGGGTCCCATCCCATGTCCCCGTCCCGTTCCCATCCCGTGTCCCATCCCGTGCTCTATACGGGTCCCATCCCGGTCCCATCCTGTTCCCCTCCCGTGTCCCATCCCGATCCCATCCCGGTCCCATCCCAGTCCCATCCTGTCCCTATCCCGGTCCCATCCCGATCCCCTCCCGTGTCTCCATCCCGGTCCCATCCCGTGTCTCCATCCCGGTCCCATCCTGTTCCCCTCCCGTGTCTCCATCCCGGTCCCATCCCGTTCCCCTCCCGTGTCTCCATCCCGGTCCCATCCTGTTCCCCTCCCGTGTCTCCATCCCGATCCCATCCCGTGTCTCCATCCCGGTCCCATCCCGTGTCTCCATCCCGATCCCATCCCGTGTCTCCATCCCGGTCCCATCCCGTGTCCCCATCCCGATCCCGATCCCATCCCGATCCCATCCCGTTCCCACGCGGATTTCCCGGGAGCCCCAGGCCCCGCCCACTCATCGCGTCCCCGCCCACCCCATCCCACCGACCAATCCCGTCAGCGCTCCCGCTGACTGACAGCAGCACGCCCCGCCCCGCGCCGCCAGCCCAAAGGGCGGGGACTGCTGTCAATCACTGTGAGCGACGGGCCGAACAGCCAATAGAAGGCTGTCAATCGCAAAGAAGGCGCGGCTTGTTCCCCATGGCCCCGCCTCCCCGCCCCGCGCGCCTGCTCCGCCCCGCCCCCTGGCGGCCGCGGGGAGGGCTCTGTGTCGGCGCTGCGGCAACATGGCGGGCAGGGTGAGTGTGAGGGGCTCCGAGCGGACCCGCTCCTCTGCCTCTGCCCCCGCTCCGCTGCTCCCTGCCCCGCTCCCTTGCTCCCTGCCCCGCTCCTCTCCCCCTGCGGCCCTGAGGGCTCCTCACAGCCCCGCCGGCTCCCCCGGGGGTGCTGTGCGGCTGCGACCAC